GGTACTAGGTTATTATTTATACACCAAACACCACAGAAACTATCTTTTTGGGGCTAAGTAATAGTGACAGTTAATAATTTATATGAAAGCCATCCTGTAATTTCCAATATGTAACCTACATGATTATTTCAACCTTGAAACTGTGGTACAGATGATGTAATGGTAATTACACTGAGATATATAGCTGCTCTACCACAGGACTGCTAAGCCAGAGTAATCTTCTTAAGTGAGTAGATTTGTGCCAGCAAAACTACTGAATCTGTCCCTGCCCTGTGCAAAGCCTGTAGTGCACAGGGATTTCCAGGGGTGTTTATCCCTGAGCCCATGCAGGACCCCAGCAGGAGCAGCAGGTTTTTCCATGGACTGTAGGTTATTCCATCACCAGCACAGGGTCTGCTGTCCCAGCAGAAGTGTGAATGATGGATGGGAGCTCCAGCTGGAATGGATCAGCCACGTTTTCATCTGTTTATCAGCTGCTGGCCTTTGCATTTTCTTCACACACCCTTCACATCCAGCCTGTGATCTAACTTCAGGCAGAAGATGTTTCTTCATGGATTTTTTTTTCCCCATCAAATTATTTCTATTTAAATTTCTTAAGTCAAATCTGTATGTCCTGTAAGCATCACAGATGATTTCTTTTGTCTTTCAGTGGTTGTCTACAATATTAATTAAATAAATAATAGAGTGTCCAAGTGCTCTGCCCAGCATTAACCAAGGGCATTGAAGAAGCCAAATGCACATGGAAATTGCCAGACCAGATGAAACTAATGGTGTGTTCAGACCAATATCCTGTCTTGGACAAGACCTGTGTTACCAGCTTCAGAGCAAAGTTCTCATCATTGAAAAATAGGGAATAAACTGCTGAGGAGGAAGTTTCTTTTTAACACAAGGCATTTAGTGGTTACCTTCTGCCTTGAAGCATGAGTATTTACATTCCATATTCTCCCACTAATGCACACTAGGTTTATTTGGCATGGCTTAATAGACAATTTTACTCTTCTTAGGCCTAACCCGTGAGCACCACCCTACCAGAAGAAATTTCCTTTCCTGATCGCTTCATCCCCACGAAGTGACATGTTTGCTCTAGCAGAAACCCTTTTGTCTCATGTTGCCTGATGTGGCCTCTGTCAAAGCCAGTCTCTTTCCTCCAGAGTCTGCCCTACCCATTGCTGGGCACAGAGGAAGGCTGGGTCCAGCTCCTCCACACCAGGCTGTGTCAGAAGATCCCTGGCTCCCAGGCAGTTCCCTGATAACATGGTGGCAACCAGGACTATCCTCATGTTCAAGATTCATGTGGTGTCTTGTTAACCTCATAGCAAGTACATCTGCCAGGTGAAAACACTCAGAACTGCCTCTCCTGGGACATCCCATCAGCCAAGTTTTTCCTCAGAAATCACGGCTCCTTTCCATCGTAAACCTCCACACAATCAGGACACAGTGACAACCCGGGAAAAACTGAGCAATGAGGTAAGACTCTGCCCTGAGTTAATTTTGGGTGTTGCCCAAAGTTCTCCCTACTACAACTGATCCAGGTGTCCTCTGGCTTGCAGTGGGGCTTATAGAAGAGCCATGAGTTGCTATGCCTTGGTTGACACAAAGAGCAAGTACAAAGGTGAAACCCCAGAAGATTATACTTGTCAGAGATCTCCCATTCCCCTGATTTCATCTCTTGATCCCTTCTCTCAGCAGAGCCCCTTCTGTGGCCTCCACTCTGTCCTCCCCTTCAACTCCCCAGGTTTCCCATGGTTTTCAACAAAGTTTCCCCATCAGCCAGCCTCAGGGTCAGCCATCTTTCATGCGAGTTATACAGCAGGAATGGGGTCCTGGTGGCTTCTGGACCTCACTACATGACCAACATGCTCGAGTCACATCACCTCCCTCAGTCTCTCTTGGTTGCAGCAGCAGTGACACGGCTCCAGCTGCCTCTGTTAAGGGGCTGTAGCCATCAGGAGCATGAGATCACTGAAGCCGATTGCACAGCAGTTGGGCTTGTAAAGCAGGGGAAGGAAACTGGACCAAGGCACTCTGTGGGGCTGCTACTTAACACCTCAAAAGATAAAGCACATAGAGAGTCTTGGGGAAACCAAGTAGAATGATTCTGATATTTCTCATCCTTCCACCACACTTCTGCTCTCTGGTCTGTATGGCGCAATCATCAGGGAGGGGGAATATCATACAAGGGAGACATGGAAATTTTTCTAAAAAAGGAAAGTCCGATGAAAAGCACATGGAGGAAAAAAAATCGCGGTGTGAAGCATCTCAAAAAAGGCAGCGCGGGTAGTGCGACAAAACCCCCTGCCTATTCATCAGGCCAACAAAAAGCTTCTTTAGATTTATACTGTGAGCCCATTGAGAGGGAGGGGAGGGAGGCAGCGCTCACACACCGCCCTTGTGCACACAGCAGAGCCCGCAGTCCTGCCCCGCGCACACAGGCTGGGCTGTTCTGCCCGCTCACAAGGAAGCTCTGAGTTTTTAAAAGTAAACTGTAAGGTTTCCGTTGTTGCACTCGGCTCAAGTATTTTTTTTTTTTTTAAATATATAACAGCTCCCTCTCTTTGCTGTCCCTCTCTCTCTCCTTCACTCTTTAAACAGCCCCGGCTGCTCTGGGCTGCTCGGCAGCCGTCGTGCGCTGGCTCCCTATGTGGTCCAGACCCGCTATGAACACGGCTTTTGTTGCTGCTGCTGGGAAGCTGCCTGAGAGCAGCACACACAGCCCGGTTTGTTCCACACGTGGAGGCTGCAGCGGGTTTGAGCAAGGGGGGAAAGAGGAGGAGGAGGAGGAGGAGGAGGATAGCTTGGGTTAGGTTGTCTTGTGGTAGTGTAGCCATCCCACCACTGGCAAGGGAAAGGGGGAAGCGAGGAGACGCAGGCGGGTGGTGGTGGAAAAGATGCCTCAGCCAGCTAAGAAAGGTCCCGTTGATTTTTAAAATGGGACCGATTGGCCCTCCACCAGCCCACGTTCCCGCTGGGTGCAGGTCAGCACGGGAAGGCAATGAAGTCACTCGGTCTGTGCAACTTAGGTTTGCAGAGGATCTGCCCCAGAGAGCGAAGAGGAGAGAAAAGACCAATAATGGAGTGGATTTTGGAGTTCCAGGGTTCCTAATCATTATGTGCACCCCTGGGTGATACATAGCACTGAACAACAGTCTGGGGTTTTTTTTCCATTTACAGATTCATTCATTCATTTCTATCTTTTAAGTGATACCGTCTATTCTCTTCTCTAAAACCCTTAATGTTCTTCACTAACTGGGGAGTATTTTATGTTGATGAGTTGCTATTTGCTCTGACAGAGCTAACTCTGCTGCATTTTGTTTAATGTCTGGTTTTCCTTAATAAGTTTTTCCCTGCATCTCATTCACACCCTCAATTTCTTATCTTGTCGTCTGTCTTTGCCCGTCCATCCTCCAGCCCTCGTGCTGCTGTCAAACTCTGCTACTGTACACAGAGGTGATTATAGGAAACATTAAACAGCAGTTGAAGTGGAACAGATGGAGTTTCCCCCAAAGACTGCTCAGGCTGCAGAAAGAGCTCAGCCTCTGCCCCATCCAGTGATGGCGGGAGGTGATGTCTCCCCTTCCTGCCCTCTGACAGTGAATTGAAACATCCCAAAAAGGGGCAACATCTCCCCTTTGTATCTGTCAGGCAGATACAGTCTCTTGAAGCCAGCAGAAAAATATAACGTCAAACAACCAAAGTAAAGAAAGAAATAGTTCAACTTCCAAAAGTGCCTTTGCAGAATCTGAAAACCCACCAAACCTGGTCCCCAAACCACCGGCCCCTCTGCCCAGCCAGTATCCTTTACCAGGAGCTTAAACACGAAAGCCAAAGCTGTGAGGAATGCTGAGAAATTCCTCTCTCCCAGCTATTTCGTTGTGGGATGTTTCCCCCTTTCCACATCTGGGAAAGCTATTTTAGACAGCAAGGAAAACTTTACAAACTGACTTTTTTTGGCTAAACCACTCAAAAGGGAAAGGTTAAAACATATACTTTCTACTGTGTGCAGACAGCTACTGAGCACAAGGTTTAAATGAAAAGTCTTGAAAAGAAGTAAATTAATCAGAAGAGAGAAATTTCTGACAGAGATTCTGAAAAATAAAACCATTTTTGCTCTGTCCATTTCTGGCGAAGAGCTCGGCTCCCTGAAAACTACTGCTAAAAATATGCTTAATCTGCAAATGGATTCGGGAAGCGGGCAGGTACTGAGGAACGCCCGGAGCAACTCACTGGAAATAACCCAGGGGACTCTGCCAGCCGCTGATCCCTGACATCCTCGTGCAAGGGGAGCATTGTGAAACCCTCCAGCATCCCGGCTCTTCTCATTCTCTTCCCGAACTTGTCAGTCCCTGCAGAGCTTAATTCCCCTCCAGCTCAGGGGCTGCCCTTCGCCTGCCCCGTAGCAGAGCAATGACACCGATCAAAGCCGTGACCATGGCAAACCCCGGCACTGGTCAGGACGCTCTCAACAAATCAGTGTGCCGGCAGCTTCCATCCCCAGAGCTCCGGAGCAGGCTCAGACACATCACCCGAGCCCCAGCGGCAGCTGAAATCCGTCACAAAGAAACACCGATGGGTTGGAGGGACTGCTGGGGAGGGAGAAGGGGGATAACTTGTCTCTGCTCTCCCGCCTCGTGGTTGTGGCTATGGGACCACTTAAGCCATCCTTGCTTTCCCTCCCTTCCCCAAGCCAACCAGCAAACTTGACACACAGCTGTTGCCTCTGGCTGTAGTTTGTTCCCTGCAAGGGGTGGGATGCTGGTGAGGACCATCACTCCGGGGCGCACTCCAGGCACAGGCTCCCCTCTCACAGCAGCGCTGCTTGCGAGAGGGAAACTGTGGAGAAGCCCGGGCTCAGTTATTTTCCAACTTTTCTCACATTTCTCTGCTGGTTGCTCACCAGGGAAACGACCAATCCCCTGACTGAGAGCCTGCTTCTCTAGAGCGCTTAGGAAAGTTAAGGAAAAGACACCGAAGAGAGGAGGGAGGAAAGTTCGATACGTTACCTTTAACAGTTCAGTGCAGTGCTTCCAAAATCTAAGTCCCATACACCTGGCAGAGAAATTAGGTCTTTTTCGGTGTATTCAGAAGGAAAGAGCTTGCCACTTCTTGCTGTTCCTGTATGTCTTCTTCACAATCTCCAGATGAGTTTTCCTGCCTTTTTTTTTTTTTTTTCTTCCCTGGTTCCCCAGAAGAAATCAAAATTCCCTGTGTGGTATTTCGGGTCCTTTCAGGCAGTGGCAGCAGCAGCAGGCTTGAAGAGTAAGTACTGTGTGTGAATGGCAAAAAAGAGAGAGAGGGTTTCAGACCACATTAGCTGCCACTGGCTGCAAAAGAGACCATCAAACTCCTGTCAGCCTCCTTAGATACCTCTTGAAGAGCTGGCAAACTAAGTGTATTGGATCCTCCTCTGGATTTTAGAGTAAAGGTAGGCAGGCATCCAGGGGGCAGGGGGAAATAGGAGGGCTTATGGACAGAAAAGGAAGCCCAGCCTCTTGGAAAGAAGGGAAAAAAAAAACCCCATACACCCAACCCAGAAAAGAAAAGAAAGGGGAAAAAAAAGCATTACCAAAAAAATATTGTAAATGGAGAAAGCTGAATGGGGAGTGGGGGATTAAATTTAGCCCTCTGGTTTGGAAGCAAACTGGTTGGGGCACCACAAGTGGTTGAGAGAGAAGAAATAGTTTGTGTAATAAAAAGAGAACGTGGTTTTTGCAAACTAAAATAAGATGAAGCTAATTAAGGAACCTGAGCAAAGTATTTGTGTCTGCAATGCAGTCAATATCACTGCAGTCTGAGCAAAAATGAGCAGATGTACTGGGAAGCCCCAAAACAGCAGCAAACAGAACAGTTTAGGGAACTCCTGCATGACTCCACTGGCTGCTGAGGGAGGGAGGCAGGTGACGGATGGAGGGAAGGGATGCTCATTATTAGGCAAAGGGAAGCACCCGGAGCATCAGTAACTGAAAAGTGGGTATTTGACAGTGAATTTGCCTGAAGGTTTTCTATGATGAACTAGGGAGAAATGAAGTCTTTATGCACCCTGAAGCAACCACCTCAAAACTCTGAGGAGGATCCCATAACTGAATCCTTGGCAGTTCTGGTTCTGTGAGAAATTGCTGAAGGGTCTGTAATGTGGGGTTTTTTATTATTTTTCTTTCTGTCGGGGATACTGGTACCTTTGAGAGGGACAAAAAGCTGTGCTCAGGGAGGAGGGAACGGGTCTGTTGCTGCAGATCTAACCTTGGCTTGTGAAGGGACCACATGACAGCTGGCAGCAGATGGGAAACTGCTGAGATGTTCACTATTGAGAAAAATTCTTTTGTTTGAAAAGCCTGTTGTACCTCGACAGTGAAACCTGAGCATGGACAGAGATACAGGGTTTGAAGTTCCTCAGGCTTGCATGAAGAAACATGCTGGTGCTGTTCTCTTCTAACGTGGAAGAGATCACTACCAGCCTAAAGCAAAGGTAAAGTCTGAGCACAGGGAGGTTCTCCTGTGCCCTTCTTGAACCCAGGCCATATGGCTGCCCTCAGCATCTTTCCTTCCATTTCTCTCTTAATATGATCTTTAATATCTGCACTTCCCTCTCTTTTCCTAATATTCTCGTTTGCTTTCTGGTTTATGATATAATAGTTTCTCCTCTCTCCATAAGTTATTTGATCTCATGTCTCACTTCAAAGCTTGCTTCCCTGACTGCCTCACTTTTTGACCTGAGGCTTATAACCCCCAGCCATGCATCCATCACCCTGACAGGTAAGGAATACCTTATTCCATCTTAGAGATTCAATACCAAATTTTGGTTGTGAATGTTCCCCTTGGATTATTCCCCCCCTTTTTTTTTTTTTTTTTTTTTTATTTACCAGCAAAGCAGCAATGGATATTAACTTCAAAACTTGCCGGATGCCCATATACTAGAAGTCAAAAGGACAGTGGGAAAGCTTCACACCCACTGAAAAGAACAGTGCCCTTGCAGCACCACCTGAAACTCTGGGACTTTGTTTCATCGTAGTATGGTTTGGTTTGGAAGGAACCTTAAAGGTCATGTAGTTCCAACCTCATTGCCATGGGCAGGGACACATTCCATGAGAGCAGATTGCTCAAAGCCCTGTCCAACCTGGCCTTGAACACTTCCAGGGATGGGGCATCCACAGCTTCTCTGGGCAACCTTTACCAGCGCTTCACCACCCTTGCAGTGAAGAGTTTCTTTCTTACATTTAATCTAAATCTACCCTCCTTCAGTTGAAAGCCTCCTCCCCCTTATCCTATCATCACTTCAGGCCCTTGTCCAAAGTCCCTTCCCAGCTCTCTTGGAGCCTGTTTATGTATTGGAAGGTGCTCTAAGGTCTCCCTGGAACCTTCTCTTCTCCAGGCTGTTTCCAGGTGGAGTCTCAGCAGAGTGGAGTAGGGGGTAGAATCCCCTCCCTCGACCTGCTAGTCAAGCTGCTTTTGATACAGCCCAGGACACAGCTGGCTTTCTGGGCTGCAAGTGCACATCTCTGGGTCGTACTGAGCTTCTCATCCACCAACACTCCCAAGTCCTGCTCCTCAGAGAGAGCAGAGCTCCCAGTCTATTCTCTGCCCAGCCTGTATTTGTGCTTGCTTCCCCCACCTAACATGCCTTTCAGTCTCTAAGAGCTCTGTTTGTCCATATCAAATTTAACTCTCTATCTGCTGAGATTAAGTGGGGGCCTTCCCACCTCCTCAAAGGGCATTGGATCCACCCTAGGGTTGCCACTACTTCCAGATGCTGGGTGGGCTGAGACAGACAGGGCAGCACTGCAGCATCACATGCCTCCCCTCCTCACCGGCTGGGGTGTCCCTGCACTGGGCAGCACAGCGTAGCTATAGCAATGAGAGGAGACAGGCAAAACACACTTCAGATGGGGCATGACAGCTCATGCTCTAGGCAGGACTCGGTATTTCCAGCTGGTTATAAAAAGCACATAGACAGGAGCTATAAAATGTGACCTGGCTGATTTTGCTCAGACTCACGTACGTGAGACACTCTGAAACACCTCACGCCTGACCACAGCCCTTTCTCCCCGTAACATAAAGATCTTTTGGGAAATGTACACGTTTAGTTGTTTTGCTGTGGAATTACTGTGAGTCCTGTGTACCCTCTACTGCTGCTGTGGTTTGGCAAAGAAAACCTCATCCAAACCTTTGGTGAGCTTAAGCCAAGGAACAGAGAAAATTCCACTTTGGAGCTGACCAGCTAGGAAAATGTGATGCTCCACACAAAGTGGTTTCTTAGCAGTTTCAGGAAAGGGGCAGAAACTGCTCAGTACCTGCTGGCTGTCCCAGTTTTTTGTCTGCATCAGGAACGATTGGAAAAACAGCTAAATATGGTCAGAGAAATTGTGATTCATAAACTGCTCTTGTGTTTGTTTGTTCTTTAAGCTGAGGAGAGGCCAGGTCAAAACCAGTCACATAGATGGCTTTTGTTTTTTGTTTAAAGTGGGAAAGCAACAGTTCATGGCTCTTTGAAATACAGGTAACACATTGCAGAAGTGCTTTCAGTTAGGTAAGATTTTTACATGTCATTATAAAGTTCAAGGGAGGCTTATGTCTATTCCTGGTGAAGTTCAGCCTTCAGGGAGCGCAAATATTTGAACAGAGAACAAACCCTGTGGCCAAGGAAAAGTGGATAATAGCTGTGCTGTGAATACTATTGAATATCCAGAATATGTATGGTGGAAGAAGTCACTGAATGAAAATGGGCACAAAAGGAAAAAAAACACCAGGTAGAAGAAGGCTGTGTCAATTAAAGTGATAGCTGCAGTTTTCCAAAAGCAATGAAAGGTGGGCTTGGGAGGTTTTCGAGCCAGGTGAGAGAGGGAAAGAAAAAAAGAAGTAAAACAAATAGTACAACAAAGAATAAACCTTTCAAACTGCATATAAAAATTGTTCCAATCAAACCACTTACTGTTGTGAACTACTGTTCCTTCCCTGCAACTACCAATGTAGTAACCCACGGCTCTCAGCTCAAATCCTTGCCTTACTCTCAGGATGAAAAGGAAAGTTTTGTATCCCTAAAACAGACCATTTCTGGAATAACTGTATCCTATTAAAAGCTAATTAGCATTTAGAAGAAACCAGTGGGGACATAAGAAGAGGGTAATTGAGTGGGGTGATGTACAAACTCAGTTCATGAACTGCCTTCAGGAGAAGATGCTGGAGATCTAGGGGCAATCCAGGGGTTTTGAGCTTGTGCCCAAAAAGTATTGCTCCTGCCTTTAGTCGGATATCTGATGTTGTGGCAGGCATTTCCTGATCAGCCATCACAGGTGCCTTTAGTGATCAGCATTTGAGCTCCCATTGCCCTGTAGGCCGAAGCCCTAGAGCTGTGTGGAACTGAGGCTCACAGAGGCAGGGTAACTTGCTCAAGGCTATGGGTAAAGCCAGTGTCACAGCCAGAACATCTCCATTCTCAGCCCTATTCCCTCTTTTAAAGCCAGCAAAGGCTGCAGCAGTTCAAGAGTGTTGGCTGCATTGCTAAGCTGTTTTGCTGGAGCAGTGATGGGTAGTGATGCTCTGCAAGGGCGAGGCTGCCACCTCAGAATGTCAGCTTTGACTCTCACGTTTGGGTCCTGAACTTCTCCAAGCCAAGATCCCATGATGGGGAAAGCATGGTGTAATGTGGAAATGTCCATGTCATAGCTCATGTCACTGGGTCTCTGAACAGGGTGGTTGTATGGCCTTACTTTTGAGTCCTACTAGAGCGATGGAAAGAGACAGCGATGAAATCCCTCTAGATAAAAATTATGAGGGGTCTAAAACCTCCCATCACAAGGCTTTGCCTACTAAGATATGATCCTGATAGCATGGGCGGGGACTGAAAAGAAATGAGTCAACATCTGGGGGTAAAAAGGATACAGAGGAGCCTCCCCCACAAACACAGCACCTGCACCCCTTTATTCCAGAGTGACTATCATCCTTGTTGGTGCAGGTGGAAAACTCACCCCGTATTTAAAAAGCCAACGCCATACACACACACACATACGCACACAGCTTCTCCCAGCCCTG